CATACATACACAAAACAGAGAACGTCTCAGCCGATAGCAATGCACAAATGCCTTCCCCGATGAACATAGAGGGAGATAAGATGGCTTCCAATACCATTTGTGGATGCCAGCTTCCTGCAGGATCTCAAAGAGACGTTCCAGTCTGGGAAATTGGATTCCTTAGACTTTCTGAAGCTGGGCACCTCTCACTTCTCACGGAGATGGTCTCCAGGGGTAATGTTTACTGGGAATGTCTGCATGCACTTACTGGAAGGTGTTAGTGGTGGTGTTAGTGGTGGTGTTAGTGGTGGTGTTAGTGGTGGTGTTAGTGGTGGTGGTAGTGGTGGTGTTAGTGGTGGTGGTAGTGGTGGTGTTAGTGGTGGTGGTGTTAGTGGTGGTGTTAGTGGTGGTGTTAGTGGTGGTGGTGTTAGTGGTGGTGTTAGTGGTGTTAGTGGTGGTGGTAGTGGTGGTGTTGGTGGTGGTGTTAGTGGTGGTGTTAGTGGTGGTGTTAGTGGTGGTGTTAGTGGTGGTGTTAGTGGTGGTGGTAGTGGTGGTGGTAGTGGTAGTGGTAGTGGTGGTGTTGGTGGTGGTGGTGTTAGTGGTGGTGGTAGTGGTGGTGTTAGTGGTGGTGTTAGTGGTGGTGTTAGTGGTGGTGTTAGTGGTGGTGTAGTGGTGGTGGTGGTGGTGGTGTTAGTGGTGGTGGTAGTGGTGGTGTTGGTGGTGGTGTTAGTGGTGGTGTTAGTGGTGGTGGTGTTAGTGGTGGTGTTAGTGGTGGTGGTAGTGGTGGTGTTAGTGGTGGTGTTAGTGGTGGTGGTGGTGTGTGGTGTTGGTGGTGTGGTGGCTGTAGTGGTGGTGGTAGTGGTGGTGGTAGTGGTGGTGTTAGTGGTGGTGTTAGTGGTGGTGTTAGTGTTGGTGTAGGTGGTGGTGTTAGTGGTGGTGTTAGTGGTGGTGGTGATGGTGGTGTAGGTGGTGGTAGTGGTGGTGTTAGTGGTGGTGTTAGTGGTGGTGTAGGTGGTGGTGTTAGTGGTGGTGTTAGTGGTGGTGGTGATGGTGGTGTAGGTGGTGGTAGTGGTGGTGTTAGTGGTGGTGTTAGTGGTGGTGTAGGTGGTGGTGTTAGTGGTGGTGTTAGTGGTGGTGTAGGTGGTGGTAGTGGTGGTGTTAGTGGTGGTGTAGGTGGTGGTAGTGGTGGTGGTAGTGGTGGTGTTAGTGGTGGTGTTAGTGGTGGTGTTAGTGGTGGTAGTAGTGGTGTGTAGGTGGTGGTAGTAGTGGTGTTAGTGGTGTGGTGTTAGTGGTGGTGGTAGTGGTGGTGGTGGTGTTAGTGGTGGTGGTGGTGGTAGTGGTGGTGGTGGTGGTGGTGGTGTTAGTGGTGGTGGTAGTGGTGGTGGTAGTGGTGGTGTTAGTGGTGGTGTAGGTGGTGGTGTTAGTGGTGGTGGTAGTGGTGGTGTTAGTGGTGGTGGTGTTAGTGGTGGTGGTAGTAGTGGTGGTAGTGGTGGTGGTTAGTGGTGGTGGTAGTGGTGGTGTTAGTGGTGGTAGTAGTGGTGTGGTGGTGGTGGTGGTAGTAGTGGTGGTAGTGGTGGTGTTAGTGGTGGTAGTAGTGGTGGTGTGGTGTGGTGGTAGTGGTGGTGTTAGTGGTGGTGTTAGTGGTGGTGGTAGGTGGTGGTAGTGGTGGTGGTAGTGGTGGTGTTAGTGGTGGTAGTAGTGGTGGTAGTGGTGGTAGTGGTGGTGGTAGTGGTGGTGTTAGTGGTGGTAGTAGTGGTGGTAGTGGTGGTAGTAGTGGTGGTAGTGGTGGTAGTAGTGGTGGTAGTAGTGGTGGTGGTGGTGGTAGTGGTGGTGGTAGTGGTGGTAGCAGTGGTGGTAGTAGTAGTGGTGGTAGTAGTGGTGGTAGTGGTGGTAGTGGTGGTAGTAGTGGTGGTAGTAGTGGTGGTGGTGGTGGTAGTGGTGGTAGTGGTGGTAGTAGTGCTGCTAGTGGTGGTGGTAGTGGTGGTAGTAGAGCTGCTAGTGGTGGTGGTAGTGGTGGTAGTAGAGCTGCTAGTGGTGGTGGTAGTGGTGGTAGTAGAGCTGCTAGTGGTGGTGGTGGTGGTAGTAGTGGGTTGTAGTGCTGCTAGTGGTGGTGGTAGTGGTGGTAGTGTGGTGTAGTAGTGGTGGTGGTGGTGTTAGTGGTGGTAGTAGTGGTGGTAGTGGTGTGGTGGTGGTGGTAGTGTAGTGGTGGTAGTGGTGGTGGTGGTAGTGGTGGTGTTAGTGGTGGTGTAGGTGGTGGTAGTGGTGGTGGTAGTGGTGGTAGTAGTGGTGGTAGTAGTGGTGGTGGTGGTAGTAGTGGTGTTAGTGGTGGTGGTGGTGGTAGTAGTGGTGGTAGTGGTGGTGGTGGTGGTGTGGTGGTGGTGGTGGTAGTGGTGGTGGTAGTGGTGGTGTAGTAGTGGTGGTGGTAGTGGTGGTGTTGGTGGTGGTGGTGGTAGTGGTGGTGTTAGTGGTGGTGTTAGTGGTGGTGGTAGGTGGTGGTAGTGGTGGTGGTAGTGGTGGTGTTAGTGGTGGTGTTAGTGGTGGTGTAGGTGGTGGTAGTGGTGGTGTTAGTGGTGGTGTTAGTGGTGGTGTAGGTGGTGGTAGTGGTGGTGGTAGTGGTGGTGTTAGTGGTGGTGGTGTTAGTGGTGGTGGTAGTGGTGGTGTAGGTGGTGGTAGTGGTGGTGGTGTTAGTGGTGGTGTAGGTGGTGGTAGTGGTGGTGTTAGTGGTGGTGTTAGTGGTGGTGGTGGTGGTGTTAGTGGTGGTGTTGGTGGTGGTGGTGTTAGTGGTGGTGGTAGTGGTGGTAGTGGTGGTGTTAGTGGTGGTGTAGTGGTGTTAGTGGTGGTGGTGTTAGTGGTGGTGGTGTTAGTGGTGGTGTTAGTGGTGGTGTTAGTGGTAGTGTTAGTGGTGGTGGTGTTAGTGGTGGTGGTAGTGGTGTTAGTGGTGGTGTTAGTGGTGGTGTTAGTGGTGGTGTTAGTGGTGGTGTTAGTGGTGGTGGTAGTGGTGGTGGTAGTGGTGGTGTTAGTGGTGGTGTTAGTGGTGGTGTTAGTGGTGGTGGTGTTAGTGGTGGTGGTAATGGTGGTGGTGGTAGTGGTGGTGTTAGTGGTAGTGGTGTTAGTAGTGGTGGTGTTAGTGGTGGTAGTAGTGGTGGTGTTAGTAGTGGTGGTGTTAGTGGTGGTAGTGGTGGTAGTAGTGGTGGTAGTGGTAGTAGTGGTGGTGTAGTAGTGGTGGTGTTGGTAGTGGTGGTAGTGGTGGTGGTGGTAGTGGTGGTGTTAGTGGTGGTGGTAGTGGTGGTAGTAGGTGGTGTAGTGGTGGTGGTGGTAGTAGGTGGTGTTAGTGGTGGTAGTAGTGGTGGTGGTGGTGGTAGTAGTGGTCGTAGTTGTGGTGGTAGTGGTGGTAGTAGTGGTGTAGTGGTGGTAGTAGTGGTGGTGTAGGTTAGTGGTGGTAGTGGTGGTAGTTAGTGGTGGTGTAGTGGTGGTGTTAGTGGTGGTGGTAGTAGTGGTAGTAGTGGTGGTGGTGGTGGTGGTAGTGGTGTTAGTGGTGGTGGTAGTGGTGGTAGTAGTGGTGGTAGTAGTGGTGGTAGTGGTGGTGGTGGTGTGTTAGTGGTGGTGGTAGTGGTGGTGGTAGTGGTGGTGTTAGTGGTGGTGGTAGTGGTGGTGTAGGTGGTGGTAGTGGTGTAGACAGTAAAGGACCAAGACAGGAAACAGGAGAAGGGGAACATATATTTCTCCAACTTCATAATATGAAAGCACTTAACATCGTTAAATTCCTGGAGATTGCATTAGAATTAACGATACATTTTAAAAGCTGCAAATAATTACACGAATTTCTGAAGGACTTTTATTAGTCGATAAATTTAAATGTCACTCGAACAATTTTACATTTGTAAATCGTTTAGAGAAGTTAGTGGAAGTGAGGCGCCGGGGCCGAGGTCGAGGCCTTAGAATGAGAAATACGGCCTTAGAAAACCGCGCCGACCGCCAACAGGCTCGTGCAGACATTTTTATACCGTCCAAGGTGAGTGATTGTTCTTGACTGACGCGGAGGAGGAAGAGACGAGGAAGAAGAGAAGAGAAAAGAAGGAGGAATCATGGATTCAGAGCGGGAAAATTATGTCTAATGAACACGATCGAGTTATATGCCAAAGGTACACAAAATACGACACCAAAACGAAAGCTGAATAGCCTTTATCTCCCCAGGATCATCAACAATCATTTGATGATGCTCTTGAACTCAAGAGTGACTGGCTGTCATGTAAGAGGCAGGACTAAGGTATGTAACACTGTGACTGGCTGTCATCTAAGTGACAGAGCCAAGGTACGTAACACTGTGACTGGCTGTCATCTAAGTGGCAGGGCCAAGGTACGTAACACTGTGACTGGCTGTCATCTAAGTGACAGGGCCAAGGTACGTAACTTTGTGACTGGACCAGCCAAAGTAGCCTTTAATTACTACCGTTAACCACATGACAGGACGGCATCAGTACATGAACACAGCCCAACCACGCTACAACTGCAGCAAGAGTAGTAAACGGCCGTTAATTTTGCTAAATGGTTGTATAGAGAACGATCTACCACTCCCTTCCACCCCTCAACCCCCCCCCCCCCCACCTCAACCAACCCTTTTCCATTCCACGCCCCAAAACAATTCCACACCCTCCCCCCTTCTATCCCAGTTAGCAGGGCAGCTAGCTCCAATATTATCCTCCAAAGTAATATTACCCGCCTAAGTAATATCGAGCGGGGTAATATAGCCGCACCTATATTACCCGCCAGAGTAATATCCAGCGGGTAATACTGTCCCCCCCCCCTACAAACACAACAGTGACGGAGGAAGAGAGTGAACAAGCACAGTGACACAGTGACATGTACGTAAACAAAGATCATATTGGTATGATCAGCTTTCACACGCTTTATATGATGTTGACCCCCCCCCCCCCTGTCATGATGAATGGAAGAGAGAGAGAGAGAGAGAGAGAGAGAGAGAGAGAGAGAGAGAGAGAGAGAGAGGGGGGGGGGTTACTCACCTCCTCCGACGCATCTTCATCCAGTGGAGTGAGACTCATCGTGAGATCTCATCTGGGCGCTGATCCTCACCCGCGGATGCTGCCACAAGGTCTCCAACCACGTGGCCTCAAGGGAACACGCTGCCGACGACGTTTGCCTCTACCAGTCATCAACTCCAGGATCTCATCTCATCGAGTGACAGCTACGCGTGATGGAGCTCACTAACCAGCATCCTGGCGCTCCTTCAAGTCCAGCTGAAGAATGTTGTTGTAACTTCATAGAACCTCAAAATGGTTCACCTTTGGTGCCTATGGACATGGCCAGTCACTGGAGTGGTGGGCACAAGAGGTCAGGAGACTCAGGGAGTTCTTTAAAGGGGAGGATCCTTCTTACCAAGTTCAAGACGAATGACTCAACTTCGACAAGAGCAAGAGGTAGGTTGACTCAAAGTTCTAGTCTTAGTCTACATAAATGTCTCTTACCTCCACATCTGGGACTTCTTTCACACTGGGTTCGTGGGTGATGTGTTCATCATTGGTATGAGTTCTTAACAGTATCACTTGCCTATTTTCTAGCATTATTTTTTATAATTAATATATGTTTGCATCTGTATTAGTTTCGACAGTTAGATCTGGACATCAGCAAGATGGAGTCAAATTAACCACCTGAATTAACCTGTTGTGTGGCAAGCCTTTACCAGCTGTGTGGCAGGTCCTCACCAGCTGTGTGACAGTTCCTCACCAGCTGTGTGACAGGTCCTCACCAGCTGTGTGACAGGTCCTCACCAGCTGTGTGACAGACTCTCACCAGCTGTGTAACAGACCCTCACCAGCTGTGTGACAGACTCTCACCAGCTGTGTAACAGACCCTCACCAGCTGTGTGACAGTTCCTCACCAGCTGTGTAACAGGTCCTCACCAGCTGTGTGACAGTTCCTCACCAGCTGTGTGACAGGTCCTCACCAGCTGTGTAACAGGTCCTCACCAGCTGTGTGACAGTTCCTCACCAGCTGTGTAACAGGTCCTCACCAGCTGTGTAACAGGTCCTCACCAGCTGTGTAACAGACCCTCACCAGCTGTGTGACAGACTCTCACCAGCTGTGTAACAGACACTCACCAGCTGTGTAACAGGTCCTCACCAGCTGTGTAACAGGTCCTCACCAGCTGTGTGACAGACACTCACCAGCTGTGTAACAGACCCTCACCAGCTGTGTGACAGACACTCACCAGCTGTGTGACAGACCCTCACCAGCTGTGTGACAGTTCCTCACCAGCTGTGTAACAGACCCTCACCAGCTGTGTGACAGACACTCACCAGCTGTGTAACAGACCCTCACCAGCTGTGTAACAGACCCTCACCAGCTGTGTGACAGTTCCTCACCAGCTGTGTGACAGTTCCTCACCAGCTGTGTAACAGGTCCTCACCAGCTGTGTAACAGACCCTCACCAGCTGTGTAACAGACCCTCACCAGCTGTGTGACAGTTCCTCACCAGCTGTGTGACAGTTCCTCACCAGCTGTGTGACAGGTCCTCACCAGGTGTGTAACAGGTCCTCACCAGCTGTGTGACAGACTCTCACCAGCTGTGTGACAGACCCTCACCAGCTGTGTGACAGACCCTCACCAGCTGTGTGACATGGTCCTCACCAGCTGTGTGAGACTCTCACCAGCTGTGTGACAGGTCCTCACCAGCTGTGTAACAGGTCCTCACCAGCTGTGTGACAGACCCTCACCAGCTGTGTGACAGGTCTTCACCAGCTGTGTGACAGACGCTCACCAACTGTGTGACAGACACTCACCAGCTGTGTGACAGGTCCTCACCAGCTGTGTAACAGGTCTTCACCAGCTGTGTGACAGACCCTCACCAGCTGTGTGACAGACCCTCACCAGCTGTGTAACAGGTCCTCACCAGCTGTGTAGCAGACTCTCACCAGCTGTGTGACAGGTCCTCACCAGCTGGACGATGACACCAACACGTTACTGAGTTACAGTAATCAACAAAAACAACAACACGGTTCTAGGCATTACAAAATCACCTCCGAGAACAACTTGTAAAAGAACAACACATTAAATAACAATGTTCTCACACTGTTCAGCTGTTCTCAACAGCTTCACTGAAGCTACAAAACTCTTGGCGATCACTAAACAATATATTCTAAATATAGAATATAAGATATATATTCTATATATTTTCCAGTAGTTGTGTCTTGCAAGGCATTACAGTAGGCCTAAATCTATTCACAAAATTATGTGTTTGTAAACATGTGTCCTTTTGTTTGTTTCTATTTAACCAGAGTTTATGACATGGGCATTATGTAGTGGGTCTCAAGTGGGCCCACTTTCTTGTCCTGTTGGTGGATGGGGGAGTGCGTGGGCCCCCACCTGCACACCTGTCAGTGGTTAGTGGCGAGCGTGGGCCCCACCTGCACACCTGTCAGTGGTTAGTGGCGAGCGTGGGCCCCCACCTGCACACCTGTCAGTGGTTAGTGGCGAGCGTGGGCCCCCACCTGCACACCTGTCAGTGGTTAGTGACGTGCGTGGGCCCCCACCTGCACACCTGTCAGTGGTTAGTGGCGAGCGTGGGCCCCCACCTGCACACCTGTCAGTGGTTAGTGGCGAGCGTGGGCCCCCACCTCCACACCTGTCAGTGGTTAGTGGCGTGCGTGGGCCCCCACCTGCACACCTGTCAGTGGTTAGTGACGTGCGTGGGCCCCCACTTGCACACCTGTCAGTGGTTAGTGGCGAGCGTGGGCCCCCACCTGCACACCTGTCAGTGGTTAGTGGCGAGCGTGGGCCCCCACCTGCACACCTGTCAGTGGTTAGTGGCGAGCGTGGGCCCCCACCTGCACACCTGTCAGTGGTTAGTGGCGTGCGTGGGCCCCCACCTGCACACCTGTCAGTGGTTAGTGGCGTGCGTGGGCCCCCACCTGCACACCTGTCAGTGGTTAGTGACGTGCGTGGGCCCCCACCTGCACACCTGTCAGTGGTTAGTGGCGAGCGTGGGCCCCCACCTCCACACCTGTCAGTGGTTAGTGGCGAGCGTGGGCCCCCACCTGCACACCTGTCAGTGGTTAGTGGCGAGCGTGGGCTCCCACCTCCACACCTGTCAGTGGTTAGTGGCGAGCGTGGGCCCCCACCTCCACACCTGTCAGTGGTTAGTGGCGAGCGTGGGCCCCACCTGCACACCTGTCAGTGGTTAGTGGAAGGCGTCGGTAGCTAAGGTTCTCCACAACGACCGTCCTGAAAAAAGAAAAGAAAAAAATATTAAAAGTAATTCTTAAGACTCCAAATCTCTTATTAACGATACTCTCTGGAACAAAGAAACCAACTTGCGTTTAATTAATAAATTATTATATTTCTACTCCAGCTGGAATACACAAATTACACCAAACAGTTTGTTAATTAACCTCACCATTCAGAAAAGATATTAATGTCTTAATATAACCTTCGAGGAGATGTTCAAGAGGAGGGAAATGAGCTGGAGAGGAGTGAAGTGACAAGTTCATCAGTGATGTTATCTCAGCATCACTTGGGAGACAAGTGATGTCTCTCCCCAGTGACAGCATCTCAGCTATATATATATAGCATCCTGGGGACGACGCGCATATCACTAGTAATTAAATGCGTATTAAATCAATACTTGCAATTAAGCGGCGGAATGGGTCTATGAGAAGTATATGGAATACTCTCAAATATATAATAGGTAAATATTTACAGTCAGCCGAGACGAGACACATGACAGCAGACAGGCAGCTGTCAACAAGTTCAACAGACACCAGACACATGACAGCAGACAGGCAGCTGTCAACAAGTTCAACAGACACCAGACACATGACAGCAGACAGGCAGCTGTCAACAAGTTCAACAGACACCAGACACATGACAGCAAACAGGCAGCTGTCAACAAGTTCAACAGACACATGACAGCAGACAGGCAGCTGTCAACAAGTTCAACAGACATAAGACACATGACAGCAGACAGGCAGCTGTCAACAAGTTCAACAGACACCAGACACATGACAGCAGACAGGCAGCTGTCAACAAGTTCAACAGACACCAGACACATGACAGCAGACAGGCAGCTGTCAACAAGTTCAACAGACATAAGACACATGACAGCAGACAGGCAGCTGTCAACAAGTTCAACAGACATAAGACACATGACAGCAGACAGGCAGCTGTCAACAAGTTCAACAGACACCAGACACATGACAGCAGACAGGCAGCTGTCAACAAGTTCAACAGACACCAGACACATGACAGCAGACAGGCAGCTGTCAACAAGTTCAACAGACATAAGACACATGACAGCAGACAGGCAGCTGTCAACAAGTTCAACAGACACCAGACACATGACAGCAGACAGGCAGCTGTCAACAAGTTCAACAGACACCAGACACATGACAGCAGACAGGCAGCTGTCAACAAGTTCAACAGACATAAGACACATGACAGCAGACAGGCAGCTGTCAACAAGTTCAACAGACATAAGACACATGACAGCAGACAGGCAGCTGTCAACAAGTTCAAAAGACACCAGACACATGACAGCAGACAGGCAGCTGTCAACAAGTTCAACAGACATAAGACACATGACAGCAGACAGGCAGCTGTCAACAAGCACAGCAGACACCAGACACATGACAGCAGACATGAAGCATATTATATTATAGAATGTCCCATGCTGAATAATTTCTGATGCCCCCTCCCTCCGTGGGATGGGATATACCGAACTCTGTAAATATTATCTGGACCTGTACTAAAGATCTACAATGTAATGCAAGCATTATATACGAGACGTGATTATAACCTGAGCAGGTAAAAGAATTTTAATCATCTTCTGTGAATGAGTGCTCAATACTCACTTTGTATTATAGGAAAGTAGGAAACGAATATATCCTCCTTACTCTCCCCTTTCCCGCGTCTACTTCCATCTCATATTTACTCCTCATCGTCTTCTCCACGCTGCCATACACTCTTCTATTCGCTATGTGGTCCTCTCCCTTCACCCATCCCATCTCGCCCCAGACCGAGTGAGCACGCCCTGGTAATATTCATGATCTGAGACCAATATCTGTCACTGATTTCCCTTGTGCGCTCTGACGGCTAGAAATGACCCTACAGACTGGTCTCCTCGCCAGCTGCTTATACTGCAGGGTGAGAGAGAGAGAGAGAGAGAGAGAGAGAGAGAGAGAGAGAGAGAGAGAGAGAGAGAGAGAGAGAGAGAGAGAGAGAGAGAGAGAGAGAGGAGAGAGAGAGAGAGAGAGAGAGAGAGAGAGAGAGAGAGAGAGAGAGAGAGAGAGAGAGAGAGAGAGAGAGAGAGAGAGAGAGAGAGAGAGAGAGGAGAGAGAGAGAGAGAGAGAGGAGAGAGAGAGGAGAGAGAGAGAGAGGAGAGAGAGAGAGAGAGAGAGAGAGAGAGAGAGAGAGAGAGAGAGAGAGAGAGAGAGAGAGAGAGAGAGAGAGAGAGAGAGAGAGAGAGAGAGAGAGAGAGAGAGAGAGAGAGAGAGAGAGAGAGAGAGAGAGAGAGAGAGAGAGAGAGAGAGAGAGAGAGAGAGAGAGAGAGAGAGAGAGAGAGAGAGAGAGAGAGAGAGAGAGAGAGAGAGAGAGAGAGAGAGGAGAGAGAGAGAGAGAGAG